GCAATGCCTTCATAGCAAATGTTTTTCAGAGCAGACTTCCAGTGAGGATTGCTCAGGTTCCTGCCACTGCCACCATTCGCATTTAGCATTAATATAGCTCTGGTCCTTTATGTTGAGGAGACATCCCTCTTGTTTGCTCTTTAAGTCTTGGACCTTGCCATTTTCCATCAAAGCTGTGTTTGCTGAATGGCTGATCTCAAAAACAGAGCAGAATGATGCGCTCTCTTCTGTCATTTGTTTTTGTTTGGGATTTGCATGACTTTCTAAGAGCAGAACAGCACTAGGAATCAGCTCAATGTTGTACGAGCCTGCATGCAAATTCATGTTTGGGGCAGAAATGCTAATTTCTGTGTTCTCTTTTTTTTCACCTGTGAGACCCTGAGGCATCTGGAGCTCCTCTCTTCTATTGAAACTTGTCTTTCTTCCCAGCCACTTTCCTTTAGAAGGCAGCTGCTTTCTTGGAACTGTCAGTGCCTGTCCCCTGCCACTCGCTCTTGGCTCCCCGGCCAAACTGATCATGGCTGGCCACCATCCCATCAGGCTCTTGGGAAACCCTCTTTGTCTCAGAGGCAGGAACAGTGAACTTTGTTCCAGTTTATCCTGGCTCTCACCCAAACAGAGCCAGAAGTTGCCTTTTTGAATTGCTTGCAGGTGGGGGGAGTGAATCATTTCCAAATACCTTTAAAAATAATGTTGTAACTGATATTGTTATAATGTGGCAGATGGATTTCCTTGCTGCTAGGCCTGCTATAAGAAATTATGCAGCTATTCAATGGTTAATTTTTACTTAATATGCTTAACTTTATCCATTGTGGTCAATATTGAAAGTATTCTTTGACAATTACGACTTACTTTTTAATAATTATACCTTAATAGACTTGTTCTTTTCAATACCGAAGGTGTAGTTTCATCTACATTTGGAAATATGGAGTAATGGAGACTCAGCTGAGGCGGCATTGTCCATGAGCTTTTGTGTAAAGTGCTTCATTTCCTGTTTGCCATATTGCACGTCACCAGCTCAATACCTGACTTTCCTCGTGAGCTGGGAAATGGAACAAATCTGCAGATCACAAATCGATTGTGCAAGTAGGACTGTTGATTTAGACATTTAATTAACCAGTTAAATAACTGACTAGATCTGATTAATTAGTAGCTAATGATAAGGTTCTGACAGATTAAATTGATCTCTAGTAACCCTCAGGGCAATTACTAATCGTTGTGATAACTTTTCCCCTGCATTGTTACAACAACCTCAGTTAGAAGTAATGTGATAATTTAGGACTATTATATAAGGCTGTCTCCTTGACACAGGACAGTGCTTCGAGCACTGCTATAATTAATTTGAGGCAATGTTATTCCTAATGCTTCTGAGTGAGATCAGTGATTAAGTAATCATTCATTTTCTAGGCACATTTTTGTAGTGCCATTGCTAATTTCGTATTGCCTGTCAATTCCTTGCCCATTGAAGTGCAGATTGTGGTAGGCAGCCAAACAGAAAGTTAGCAGATATGCTAAAGACAGTGACCAATGTGGGAAATGGAAGGCAAAACATTTATTTTCCAGGTTTTCTTATGACCTTGACTTGGTGCTTGGAAAAAACAGGATTTTTCTAAATGCCATCTGAATAGACACTGAGCTATGCACATATTGGGTGCTTCTACAATACAAATGGTTTGACTCATATTGCATATCTCAAATATTTTGCTCAAAAACAGAAAAGCATATGCCTGCACTGGATGTCATCTGAGGGATGCTTGGAAGGCATGTCTGGCAGATTTACTCCAATGTCATCATAATAAGACAATGTCAGGCCATGTAGATTTTAACTTCCACGAGAGGAGTATTACTAATGGATTAAGATAGTTTTTTTTTTTTCTTTTCCCCAAATGACAATCATTGGAAATTCAGTGGGTTATTTTTCAAGCTATTTTTTCTCATTCTTTTTCCCCACTTAACTTTGCTTTGATCTTTAACAGAAGTATTTCTATTTATTTCAGAACAGATGATGCAGGCAAATGGAAATGATTGCAAGATATTTCTGTTAAGTCACTTACTGTATTTCCACATTCATTGCAACATCTATTTCTGATGTACCTACTTGTTTACTACTCTTGAAAGAGCAGGATTGAAGGTGTACTAATAAATAAAGATATGCAATCTGATATTTGTAGTTCAGCTGTTGAATCAAAACAAAAAACCCTCAGAAAATTGAATTGGAAATCTTCTACCTGAAACTGCTTTTGGCATAATTTATTCAATTCAGACAGAAATTAAATGACATCTCTAAATAAAGCTAAATAAATGTAGGTTTACAAACTGATAATGTAAAACCCTCCTATTTAGATTTAATCCAGTAGATTAATTGCATTTTATCCTGTGGGGTGTGGGAGATTAAGGTTTGTTCTCTCCATTATAAACCCCTTGAGGTGGAAGAACTTGTACTGTGCTTAGTTTTATTTTCTCTCTCTCTCTCTGACTTGCTCCATTTTCCATCAGCATCCACCACGGATGACTGCAATCCTGGAATCTTAAGGGGTGGACTGGAACACCACATTCTCACCTTGGTGGTTAGGGTACCCTTTTGCACGTGATACCCTACTTATTTAATGTCTGCCTGAGTTGGGGCAAAGATATGCACATGTCTGTAGTCTTTAACAAGTGCTATGAAATGAGGTGGTCCAGGCCACTTGTTCTCCTGCTGCATCTTTTCCAGTTAGGAATCAGGACAGACTCCCTGTGATGTAAAATCAGTTCTTGTCTCCTGCTGGCTTGTTAATCTCCTGGGATCAGATGTAGTTTTGTGCTATGGAAAGCCCTTTTAATAGCAAAACCACCAAATACTGGCATGCTCCCGGACTACTGTGAAGCCTGAGGAGAGTGGTGTGGCCACCTCAGATCATATGCGTGGAATGGACATGGCTCAGCAGGAGATCTAACTGTAGTGTAGATCAGATGTAGGGAGGGAATTTTGATGGTGGACTACAGTTTCTAGAGACAGCCCTGGTAGACTCATGGTGGTCCATCCAATCCAGTAGGGTGGATATAGCATAGCTCTTCTTTAGTGGCTATATTTATCCAACTCCATCACTTAATCCATTCATCTATTCAGAAAGGATAGGTGCTTTTCCCATGGAACAGCTGTGAATAATTGAAATGAAGCACTTTACTATAGTGCAGAGATAAACAAGGCATGCCCTTCCTAAGTGTTGGTTTGGCAGCTGTTGAGTAACATGAGTAAGCATAAAAATCTTAATGTTATTTCACAGTGTAACTTATCTCACTCAGAATAAGTTTATTTAAGGGAAATAAATTTAGGTTATCTATATGAGAGCCAGTCTTTAGTGAACATATATTTACACCTTTCCATACACAGGGAATAATAAATTTTATGCTTGCTTAGAATGAGACAGAAGTCAATACTGCTTTTGAAATCTGGATGCTGGCTCAAAGACTGCTTAAGCTGGTTTCTGGAAACCAAATAAAAGTTTGAGTTAAAGTCATTGAGAAAGACCTGCTGGAAGCCATTTCAACTCTTTTGGCACAAGTCACACAGGCGGAAACATTTCCTTGCCAATTAACTAATGCTTCTCCTCTCATTTCTTGTATAGTGGCAGATTCAAATTTGGCAGTTTGTGTAATTACACACACTCTCCTCGCCCCTAAAACCTCAAAGCATACATGAAATGAAGAATTGACAGGAAAAAAAGCCACATGTCACAATAATTAGTATAATTTTGTCTGCTATTCCATTACTTTTTGGCACAACATTTGAAGTTTATTTAATTTGCTTGTACAAGTAAAGGTGTTTCCTCTGTTTGTTTATAATGGCTATTATTTCTAAACATCCTTGAAATTATTTGCTATAAAATCTTTCCTCATCTTCATAATACTTTAGTTTGAGCCACTTTTAGAAAGTGTGTCCTTCTATTTTTGAATAGAAGAAGCTGAGAGTCAGAAGAATGTGAATTTGTTTGTATTTCTATTTTTGGTTTGACACTGCTGGAAGCCAGTAGGTGGGTTTTTATTTCCCAATGTTTTATTTTCAAAATAAAGCATTACGTAGGAGGAATAGCACATATCTTAAATTTTTTGTTTTAATAACAGGAAAATGTTCTTGTTACAAAATCTTCTGAAGTGTCTCTAGAAATCCCTTCTTGCTCACCTCAGCAAAGTCTTCTACTCTCTCCTTTTTCATTGAGAGATTCTTTCATACAAAGAGATGAGTTCTACAGGAATTTTGCTTGCAACAAAGAAGTTGGCATGTTTTCCTTTACTATCTCTGCTACACAGATTCTTTGGTAAAATGAACATATAACAAACATAAGGAAAATAATGTAAGGAACAGACTATTGACTGCAATCAATGTACTAAAGGAAATTGTATACACAAAGCATGTTACCTTTTTATCCGTGGAATAAAACCCCTAGCATATGCTACTGGACTACACAGATTTTGCTGTCCAGGTTGGAAAGCTACAAGTTGTTATAAGGTAGTGAACTATTAAATCCTCTGCATTCAGTAAAGAGAGTAGACTAATTGATTAAAATTCTCAGAAAACACACAATAACTCAGCTGAAGTGGAAATAAAAATTCTATTGATATCTATCGCACTGGGGGGTTCCAAGATTTATTTACATTCTATTCATTTCCTAAAAAAACACCCTAACCAACCAATCAAAAGGCTCTGAAAACAAATAAACTAACTAAAACCAGCTCCCATCAAACCATATTGATGAGTTTTAGTATGTTTATTTAAGAGAAAAACTTGGATAATATTTAGTGGTTGTTACTGATAGTTGACTTCTATATCAGTACAATTATTTCACACAACATAGTGTTACCTTAAGGAAAGATCTATTTTTGAGAGAGCGAGAGAATAAGGAAGGATGAAGATTTGGCAAGACATATCACATTAAACCTTTTTTCACTCTGTTGCCAAGACTAATATTAGATGAAAATATAATGAGGAACTAAAGTAAACAAACCTTCTCTTTTTACAGCTTTCTCTCTAAACTTTGAAACCATTCATGGAAGCTGATGGGAATGCCCCTGTAAGTATATCTGAAATTATGCCAGTTTTTGATCAGTGGAAGAGGTCATAGAACATCAACATTTGAATGGTATCTTGCTAATGGGCCAAGTCAAATGGTGAGACTGTCACTGGCTGTTCCAGTTCTACTCTTCAGGTGAAACGGAGTCTGTTGCATAGGCCTGAAGCCTTATCTTCCAATCCTACCTTTTAAAGAATGAGGAAAAAATAATTCAGCGCACATGAGCTTAGAAAATGATTTTTCTTAGACACACATCTGTAGGACCCTTGAGGTTTTAGGAAAGTATAGCTCTGTAGAAGATCAGCTGTTAATTGCAGCCTTTTTGTCTTCTCAGACTCATGATTCATGAATAGAACTTCAGGTGACATGAAGCCTGGTCTTCGGTATTAGAGCACTGCTCCTGCTTTTGCTCACTGAGCAAGTTTTCTTTCCCCCACAAACAGCTTCATGCACCAATTTCACTCCACTACTTTCTTCTGGAGCATTTGCAAGCTGGAGCCCACACAGACTCCAAGAAGAAGCATCACCTGGGCAAGAATTGACTGCTTCTTGGCAGTTTTCCAAAGGGATGCTGCCCTTCATTAGCAGGGGTAATTGCTCAAGACCTCCTATTTGGGCTAGGAATATATGGCAAAGGTGCTACATACTTCAAATATTTTGATGTTTCAAATCAAATATAGGATCTCTAAACGGGCAAAATCTCTTATTTAAGATACAGCTTCTCTTGTACATTTTTTGCTTACTGATGGAGCCAACCTGGCACAGAACTGGTTGAGAACAAAACTCAGTTTTTTGCAGCTGGCCCATGCGTGTATTTGCCAAGTGGAGAAGCAATGGGCAGTGAGCTTAAAGCCTGTATTTTCATGCAGCATCAGTATCTCATTTTGTTCCAGCCTTTGGATATTACTAAACAGATGAACAATCCCAAACCTATAAAGGAGAAAAATAAATAAATAGATAAAGATTCCCAGTATTGACAGCCCTGCATAAAAATTACAACGGAAGTTACACTAACTCTAATATTTTGCATTTATTTCACACCTGTATGAGGATTGTTGTTTTCAGACATGTTCAGCAGATAGAAATAGATTTTTTTCTTATTTCTATTTTGCCCTGCTCAACCTGTGATAGTGAATATTTTTTGCCATCAGGAAATTGAGCTTTACAGGGAAACATCAATTTTTGTCAGAACAGTAGTGAAATCATGACATTTAGTTCAGTTGCAGTTGTTCCAGTAAGTATTTGTGTCTAGAAGTTAAAGTATGTTTGCTTCTGAAACTGCTGCTATGCGCCTTATTGGTAGTATTGGTTTTACTGGTAACTCTGTATTCCACATTCAAGCTTTTTTCTTTGTTCTGAATTGGTGCTATCCCTTGCTACCCTTGCTAGGACTGAAACTTAAATGTGCCTCTTAACCTCTGTTCACCAGGGTTCGCTGAAAAGGTTTTTCAAATCTTGTATGCCGATTTTCAGAGGAGGAGCATTTAATTTACATTTTGAGGAAAGATTTTCAGCTGCAAATGTGTTGATGTTCTTGTGGAAAACTGAATCCAAGTGGAGAAGAATTACATGAACCTTATGGTAGATTAATGCAAGTATAGAATTTTTTTCTGATTGTTTAGGATAAAAACATTCTCATTTTTAACTTTTTTTCTAATTTTTTCTTTTTAATTTCATAAAGTATCTATTTAACTAAAAGCACTGGTGCAGTAGAGAAAGAGTTTTGTTTATTTTTTTTAAAGATCTACAAAATTTAAAAGGGAAGTTTGGATGAACAATACTGGATTTCATTGCCTATTTCTTTGCTGTGCTCTGCAACTAGAAATTCCATCTTGTGAAGAATGACACATATTTTTTCAAGATGACTTTGACCTTCTGGGCAGAACTAGAAATGTCATAAAGTTGTTGAATTCTTATATTTGGATTAATTTGTTAAAAATTTATGTTTTCTTTCAGGAATCTTATGAAGAAAAGGATAAATTGAACTTAATTCATGAAATTTCACTGAGCAATGATTTTATTATGGATTTGTCACTGATTTTATGCAGGCAAACTAAATGTAATGCTGTCTTGAGAAACAGCCCTTCCTCCTCTGATTAGCCTCCCAGTTCCTCTAGTGAAATATAAAGAGATGGAAATCCATCACCCCCTGTCAACTGCCAGGAGGAAACAATCATTGTCATTGAATAATAAATGCAATAGTTGTGTGAATGCTTTCTTTTTTATATTTTTTTTTTTTTTTTTTGCTATTCCAATCTCTGAGTAATCATTTTCCTCCTCAGCCTATACATAAAGCAGAGTCTAGCAGAGATTTAGGTAATACAGATGTTAACCTTCTCTTTATGAATGATCCATAGGCCAGGCTATGTTGTGTTAGATCATCAATAAGGCTAGTGGAAAGACCTACTTCTTCCTCAGTTGCTTATAGTGAGCCACATCCTGTGTCAGGTTTTCTTTTATCATTGTACAATTTTATGTTGGTTAAAGATGAACTGACCCCTCTGTAGTGTATTGACAAAGATGTAATATCATTCTACTTCATAGCTTTTGCTTAAAGGTAATTAATTCTTATTTGCTTTCCTTAATGCCACTTTGGTCACACTAAAGGAATAGGTGATTAGTGTGACTGCGTGATCTATTGATTCACTGAGAATATGTGTTATTTCCATGGGCCCTAAAATAAAGCACTACTTTTTTTGAATTGAAGGTATGAGAGTAGGCCCACATAGGATGGGGAAATAATGGAGGTTCCAATACAACTGATGTGTTTTCTCACTGCTTTTCTTTATCTGTTGTCATGGAGAAGTTGGAGAGACTGAGAGATCATGGTAGAATTAAGAAAAAAATAGGCAAGTTGAGAGAAGAATATATGATGATTAAACAGGAATCTGAGATTATTCATTCCTGGTTAAGCCTCAGATCGTCTCAAATAAGCGCCAGATAAGCACAGGACTTTGCAATATGCAGTTCTGCTCTCTAATATATGCTGCAAGGATAACTGGTTAGAGAACACTCCAGCTCTTGTAAGTACTGATACCAGTGGTTTCTTGTGATATTGTTTCCGGATGCTGTAGCTTTACTCATTTTTAATTCACCTGTGAGAAGAGCTATCAAATCCTTCAACAGTAGTATGAAAAAGGCTTTTGTTTGCTCTAAGGCTGCTTGTTAGCTCTGGGAGACTGCATTAGGAATGTTTCTAGCGTAGCTCTGCAGCGGATCAGGTAGTTACCAGCTTTGCATAGCAACGTTGTGGCCAAGCATATTAAACCATGCATCACCTTATCTAGCGTTCATCATCTGGAGGTTTCAAAACCTTTCTGAGAAAATAAACGGTGTGAATTTTTTTGTTTCCATGCTGGAGATGGAAAGGTTGAAATCAAGAGAAGTGAAGTGCTTTAACTATAGTCGGCCAGTCTGCTGGTAGAGGACTTACTCTCAAACCCAGATCCTAGATTTCTGATGACCTCTTTCTCAGTCTCTGGTCTCCTGTTTTAATTTCATTTTCTGTGCACTACAAATGAGTAAATGTAATTCGATTATGTTATTTTTGCAGTGAGTAATATTTTCATGTACTGTATGGCAAGACCCTGGTGTATTTATGCATTGTGTTTTGGATAATCTGCCAAACTAGTATGATTTATTTACTTTTCTTTTTGAAATTTATTAAACTCTTACTCGTGTATGGAGAAATATAGTCTTTGTATTAAAAATATACATGACAAAGTAAAGAGGAGTGAAAAATGATTTTCTTTTTCAGGACTGCTTAGAATGTGCTAAAGGACAATCAAACTTGGCCATGTATTTTTTATCACTGCATATTTGTAAATTCCCCTCCTAGAAGCCTTAAAATGCTGGAGTCCTAACTTTTATTTTTTAATTTTGCATAGAATGCAATTCAGACAAGAACATAGCAAAGAAGCTGCCTGTGGGTGTGAAGCAGGAAGCACTAGCAGACAGACACATGTATAATAGAGTTACATTTGCTCTTGTTCAACTACACATACATCAATTCTAATTAACACATTTTCTGCTTCAGCTACTAACATCCCCTCAGCAGCAAGCGACTTATGTATTTCCATCCTGCACGCACCACCAGCATCACCACCACATCCTTCTCTAGCATCCCCCTCCCCTTTCTAGACAAATGTTGCAACACAATCTGATATTTCCTCTTTTCTTTCCTTCCTGCATTTCTTACAGGTTCCCTTGCGTCAGAAGGCAAAAAAGAAAAGTCAAGGTAATTAGAGATTTTTTTTTCTATTCTCTTCCTCTTCTGTTATTTTCTTAGTATGTCTTGATCTTGGGAGGGTGAGGATTTTATACTGCTGCTCGGCTGGTAGAAGGCTGCTTTTTAACTACTGTTTCTTGAACTAATTCTGGAAAAAAAAAATGACAGCATGCTGGTTTTTTGGACGAAATCCTTGTGGTATGTTAATTCATTCAAAGCTGGAAATTGACAAGGTAGAACCAGGCAGATGCATGCACACACACCAGCGGTTTTCATGTACTTGGCATAATAGTTTTCTCTCCTGACTTAAATAGATGTATTGCTTTTCAGCACAGCTGCATGAAGAGAAATGCATGCATGTTTCTTTTAAAAGGATCAAGAGGTATATATATGATTCACAAAAACTTGTGTACGGTTACCTTAACATTAATTAGTATCTGCATTATATATGGCTTACTGTTTTTTTTAATGCATATCAGAATGCCTTTTCAAATGCATGTGTATCACTGTCACAGCTGTTACAAAACAGAAAGACTTCTAAGTATATTTTAAGATATGCTTGGATGACTTGTTGAGATCACTAAATAAGGCTGATATCTTTAATTGTCAGCAGCATTTTTCCTGGTAATTTACTTTTAAACAAACATAATACTGTATTTTTACTGGCACAGGGTTCTTTATAATGAGTCGACGAAGGATATCATGTAAAGAACTGGGGCAAGCTGATTGCCAAGGATGGCTCTACAAAAAGAAGGAAAAAGGAGCTTTCATTGGTAACAAATGGAAGAAGTTCTGGTGTGTTCTGAAGGAGTCATCGTTATATTGGTACAGCAGTCAGCTGGTGAGTACTGTGTCTACCCAGCTCTCGGGATGGACACAAGGCATCTGCAGGGACCAAGACTAGGGGTGCTGGGGTCACAGTTTAGATTCTTTGTTTCTCAGACCTGACATCTAGGAAGTGTCTATATAAATATGAAACATTCAGAAAACTGCATTTTCTAGTACAGTGAGTACTTGAGAGCTGTTAATTTGCAGCTTGCTCTGCTCTTTGAAGAACTGATCTTTACAGGAACTGCTTGTATTTGAATCTGGAAAGGTTTTCTTGGGTCGTGCAGTTTGTAGATAGTTGCTACCAAGACTCAGAGCAGGAATGTTTCCTAACTTCTAGCTAGCTTGATTTTGAGAGGTCTATCTCCTGCTTCTTTCTGCATTTGCTTCCATGCGAGATTCATTTGTCTATTTGTTGTTTTATTTTTTGCTTGCTTTTTTTTTTGTTTATTGCTTTTCTCTGTTTGAGCTGGTAGGGTTGCAGGTATTTGCAATGGCTCTTTGTAGTGACTTTACATCTCATTTGACTGATGTCTCATCCGGAACTCTGTAATTAAAGGCTCACATGTTCTGCTGCTTTTTAATGTCCTGCTTTAACGAGTCAATGCTAAAAGTAAAAAAGAAACAGTATTTTGAACAAAAGGTCCATCTTTTGGTTCAAGGGATGAGCTTTTCTCAGGACAGCTTGCATAGATAGCATTTCTCTTTTTGTTAACACAGCCTGAACAGCCTACTCCACTTACAGTGTGAGTGGAGAATAGTCTGAGACAAAGAACAATAGGCCCTGAATTTATGTGATCAATTAAAGAAACTAGAGTCACAGTCAGAAACTCAGAGAAACTCTGGAGTCCCCTCTGTAGATGGCTGTGTTCTGTGCCTGGCTGCAGTACTCAGGGCACTCTGCAGATGTGTTTCACATGGGTTTCAGATGGGTTGTCAATGGAAACGTATAGCTGAGTGTAAGACTCAGGGGGTCCTAGGGATTAGCCGATTTTATTCCAGGCTGTTTGCTATAGCTCCGCTTGCGTGAACACATTTGATGTTTTGTGTGCCCTAGGAAGATTCAGATATTATTGTTCATTTCACTTTCTTGCACTGTTACTTCTGAAAAATCTCCCATCATATTCTAAGGATGGACTGGCAGAGCCCAGAATCGAAGTGTGCGGAATGTTAGGGGAATGCTAACATCACTAGTTGAAAATGAGAAGATTTAGTGCAGGATTATGAACGGTCTTCAGATTTCTTAAATGTAAAAATGCTACACTGAAAATGAGGATGTCCCTCATTTTACAAAAGATGAAAGATTAAAGACACCTGCATTAATCCTAGAGCATTTTAAAAAGTTAAATGCTGTATGGGTTTATTTCTATAGCAAGTTTATTCCTATAGCAATAATCCACATCTAGCAACATATCTCATTCAATGTACAAATTAAATAGAAAAAAAAATCCTTTCTCTGATGAAAAGTATTTCCTATTTTTCCTTTAGCTGCAACTGTATCATGATAAAAATTTTAATAGACATTTAAAAAAAATAAATAGCATTTAAAATTGATATGTAGTATTCTTTTTTTGGAGTAAAGTGAAAGCAACTCTACTGGTTGTGGGTTGTTTTTATTTTTTTGTAGCGTTTGGTAGTCTGAATGAGCTTGCTTTCAAGCCCAAGTGCAATTGTAACAGAAAGGTGAGCTGGCTGACTGACACGCCTGTTAGATGTGAGAAGTGTTGGGACAGAAATGATTCTGAGGAGTAATCAAGATAGAATAAATAAGATGATGAGACAATATACGGCATATATTCCATTTTGGAGGAGAAAGGTGATAAGAGGAGAGTGCAAAGTTCTCTTCGTCCTTTTCTTTTAGTAAATTTCTCTCAGGATACAGAGACGCCAAGATTGTGCAGACCCCAGCGCTCCAAGGCTGCATTTGATACTTAAGTGAACTCATCTTTTTAGTCCACACCTCCTTCACTGCTGTCACTGACTGTCCCCAAAAAAACAAGGTTGAAGAGCAGGTGACAGCCTCGTTCCAGGAAGTTACATTCACTCTGAAAAGCTCACACAGCTACACCTATCACAGTACTTCTTGGAAGCGTGCTTGCTGGTAGTACCTCTTTGTTTTCAACTTCTGCTGACTCTCGCACACTATTTTATGTTAAAAATCTAAAGGACAACTTAAAGTACAGCCTCTGCACAAATTTAGATTCAGGCAACATTTGCAGAATCACAGTAACTGTAGGGTGCTGAAAGTAAGGGAGGTGTCCTTTGCTAAAATACACTTGCTTAAATTGATGAGACCAGAACCATGCTTAGTACCACTGCAGGAGTTATATCTGAGATCACAGAAACACAGAAATGAATTTGACAGGAGAATTTGACACACTGTATTTTCAGAAATATTTTTCCCTTCAGAATTATGAAGGAAAAACAATGTTACATTCTCACTGGCTTGCTTGTTATTTCTTTTTACTTCTGTACCTGGCCTGCATTTCGTACCTTCATCTTCAGTAGAACTAATCCTCGGTCACAGCAGGGCAACCGACACAGCACACCTGGGTGTGCTGAAGGAGGATCCCTGCTTCTCACACACTTCAGACTTCCCATGGTGGGCCTCTCAGTCTGGAGTGAAAGGCAGTGATGGAGGACGGGGCTGAGGTCAAGTAAACTGGGTTACGCTGACTGCTTGTAGCTCTGCTGACCAGTTTCGTTTCTGTGAGAAACAGGAATATTTTGTTAGTGCCTGTGCAGAAACTGCAGTCAACCAGACACTAGCAACTGTAGCATAGCAACAGGGTGCTGGACCTAACCTTTTTTTTTCTGATGGAGTTGGAGAAAATAAAGAGTGGGTGGAATTTTTAACTGAATGCGTGCTATTGCAGATTTGGGTGGATAACCTCAGCTGACATCATGTTCTTGGTGAAGTCTGTCTTGAGGCAATTTCTGAAACTCTTGAAGTTTCTGTTGCCTGGGTTTAATCTGCCTTAGGTTCACACTGATTCTGGATCTTCCGTATTAGGCAGAGTGGTGGAGTCAATATAGGACACTTTGGGTGACATTTGCTGACAGTAGCTCTTTCAGAATAGCGTAACAAAAAAAAAAAAAAAAAAAAAAAAAGACCAGAGCCCAAATAATAAAATGCTGAGAAGGGCCGGAAATCTGACACTGGGGTCATCCTTCTAATCTACTGAAAGGAAAGTAGAGCACATAGATAAATCCAAACAACCTTTTCAGTCTCCATCTAAAGTGTTGAGATTCTTGAAGTTAGGGCATCTGTAGGCTCAGCAGCGCTGGGTAGACTTCTCTGAAACATGTTCCCACACAAACTTGATCTTTTTATGATGCACAGATATCATATGAGATAGATAAGCCCATACTGTAATTTATTTGCAGTGTGGATATTCCCACAGTCTAGGCAAGGAAAGTTGTATGGTGTAGGAGAAAACAAGGAAGGGCTCAATTTGCAAGGGAGATACAGAAGAACATCAGAAAATGAATTTGAGCAGTCAGATTTTGTGGATGCATTCAGGAAAACCGGACTCCTTGGAGAGCTGCTTTCTTAGTGTTTGCTTCCCTTTTTTCACTACTGCTCTCCATAGGCACATGTGTCTTGGAAATGGGTTTAAAAAGAATGATGTGTGATCCTGTCCACCCAGTGGTTTTAGTTCTTTCCTGTTGACTCACATTGAACACCTTGAAGGAATCGGTACTTCTGCATATGGAAAAGGACAAGGGGTGAAGTTTAGCCAATATAATCCTGTGTTCCTGGCTGATCTTGTGCTTGTTGCAGATACCTGAATAATGCTGACTGGAAAGGGACAGAGGACCAAACTCCTCTGCTCCATGTGCCTCTAGGACAACTTGACTGGTTTTCCAATTGAGGTTGAACACAGTTTTGCAAGATGTGTTAATGATGGTTGTCATGGGGATACAACTGAAAAGAAATATAAATATGAAATCAAAGGGTTGCAGGCTGTGATCTGCTGTCACTACTCCTCTTTGTTTTTTTCCTCTGCATTTACTGAGATTAAATTGGTCCCCGCTCACAGAGCTTTGCCAGGAACTGCATAATTGCGATATTTAAAAGTAGGAACCTTTCACCTTTGAGTCACAGAAAATGCTTGCATGCATGATACAAAGCCATTGATGTCAGCAGATAGTGCTGAGAGCTTAGTGGACCTCTGATCAATATATTACACAAATTATTCACAGCTCTGTAGGTTGTCTCACGTGGCAGAGAAAAAAAAGACTAAGTATGTCTAAATATGTTGAGGACTGAACTATTCCTCCAACAACCACGAGGTCTTCTGTGGTCAGTGCTAAAACTCTGGCTGAAACCATCAGGAGTACCTTGAATTGCAGATCAGAGCTGTTCTGCCATAATTAGGGATTTTCACTTTTCAGCACTATTTATTTTTAAAAATGTTTTGCATCTTTATATTCACTTCAAATATTGAATAAGATCTAATAAATGATTTACCAAACCTCCTAAATAAACAAAAATGCATACAGTATATTTAGAAGCAAACTAAAAATGTTATTTACCTCTTTCATTGGGTTCCTTCATTATGTTTAATTAATATAATTTATTTATTTATTTTAAATACTGAAAAAGTGTGAGTTTTTCCTCTTTTTGTCCCAAGAATTTACAAAGGCAGTTTTTTTGCAGACATTTTGCTTTCTACTGTGGAGAACAGCAAAAAGTCTAGCTTTGTATGTGAAGCAAATATGTAAAAACAAACAACAACAACACAACATGTAACAGCTTATTCTTTTTAAAATCCTGACAGAATAGCAAGCAGGTCAATTTTATTTTAATCTGAACTTTTGGGTTTTTTTTACATCTGGCCCCATCTGGAGTACTGTGTCCAGGTGTGGAGCCCTCAGTACAAGAAAGACATTGAGATTTTGGACAGGGTCCAGAGGAGGGCGACTAAGATGATCAGGGGGCTGGAGCACCTCCCCTATGAGGACAGGCTGAGGGAGTTGGGCTTGTTCAGCCTGGAGAAGAGAAGGCTGCGGGGTGACCTCATTGCAGCCTATCAATACCTGAAGGGAACCTACACCCAGGAGGGGAGTAAACTCTTCAAAAGGGCTGATAACAGCAGGACTAGGGGAAATGGTTTTAAGTTGAAGGAGGGAAGATTTAGGTTGGATGTTAGGGGGAAGTTCTTTACTAGGAGAGTGGTTAGGCCCTGGAACGGGCTGCCCAGGGAGGTTGTGGATGCCCCGTCCTTGGACGTGTTTAAGGCCAGGTTGGACGGGGTCCTGGGCAACCTGATCTGAATGTGTATGTTTGGTGGCCCTGCTAGGCAGGGGGGTTGGAACTACATGATCCTTGGGGTCCCTTCCAACCCGGGTGATTCTGTGATTCTGTGATTTACATCCTGGAAATAAAATCCTAAGGAAGCTTGACTGAAATGTGAGTTAAATACAGCATACTTAAAATCATGTTAAAGATAACGTATTGGATAAAAGTAAATATTCTCTGCACTTTCAGTGTTTTTAAATATTATGGTTATCCCAATAAGATTTCCTTATGTTTATTAGAAATTTTACTTTCTGACTGTAATGACACACAAGGAAAAAAACCCATAACACTTATATCCATTTTTTTTTCCTCTCCTTCCTTTTGTCTGACAATAATGGAGCTACGTCAAACACCTAGGCACACCTGAGGTGCAACCAGTAGTGGAAAAAAAAGTAGTTCCTACAATTCATGCTGTTATCTTTCTTTCTCTCATATATAAAATGAAACATGAAAATTTTCTTATAAATAAATGTGAAATCATGGGTAGCATTAACACAGAGCTGAAATGTGATGCATTGAACATCATCTAATTTTTTTTGCCACTGGAACATGCTAGATGCTACATAAGAATGGAGAGTTCTCTGTAGTAATACTAGTAAATGAAATCAAGGCTCACATGTCTATTCCCATGAAAAATTTAAGAGAGTACTCTTCTAAATTAGATGCTCATTTAATGTGCCAGTGATTGAAGTTAAAGTCCCATCTCTGCATGAATGGGAGCACCCCAGATGTCTCCCCGCACTGAGTTACTCAGTGCAGCTGATTTAATGGCCCAGTACATAACCTGAACACTTGAAATCCTTGTATAAATACTTACATAGTGTGTGAACTTATTCTCCTCATGAATGTCTGTTTAGCCTGGTGCAGGTGCTATTACTGGTGAAGATGTAAAATATAAATCTGTTATGAATGTTTAATGCATGTAAACTAGATGAATGATTCTTATATTTTGATTTACCTTATGGTAAATCTTTTTAGAGATTTATACTTTCAGGAGTTAAAAATCAAAGGCTTGTCTTGAACATCTTTTTATAGTCTTTTCATAATCATGCATAGTCTGACTTCAGTTGCTGTCAGTCATCTCCATTTATCCTCCGTCTTTGTAATTGTTGTGTATATTTTACCTCTGTTAACTCAGTGTACATTTTCAGAATTGTAATGTGGCCAAGGATAAAGGCTGGGAGCAGTAATGAATTGATTTAGGAGTTAATGTTTTCTGTATTTTAAAATGTACTTTTTTGTTGTTGTTTTTTGTTTATTTGTCTGTTTAATATCACTATACGCTGCAGAATTTTGTCTGTGTAATTGCCACTCTTAGGAGCAGTCTGTCTCTTGTGGCTGATTAGGTGAATGTAGATAGATGTAGTAAAAGAGGATGTTTCAGCCGTAGGCAGCAGAACATGGATTTGAGGCCTACAAATAGCTTCGGGATTGCTGATACTGCTCTGACAGGGTCTGGCTGATAGGTAGTAACAGAGGTGTTACTGATTCATTTTCCATATGTTCACAACACTTGGCTGGTCTCTTTGTTGAAGCATATCATGTGATTATGAATTGTTGCATAGGGTTTGGGTTCTTCTAACTGTTGCTTTTGGTCCTGGTTTGATCAAAACCTAGATTTTGCCCATCGCAATTTCAGACTCTGGGTTAGACTTACAGCATAATCATACATCTTAGGTAAGGCTGCTCTATAACAAACAAAAAAAAAATACCCTGTAGTCACGAAGTGGGCCAATCTACCCTAGAATTGTTATATGAGTTGAAGATTCTTCCTTCTTCAGATTATTTGATATTTGGAGGTGTACAACAAATCCTATTCTCACACTCTTACACAGACAAGAGTGGTGGTTTTCCAGTACACAGGACTTGGACAAAGGGTAGCTGGTGTAGGAACAGCTCTTTTCCTCAAAGATAGCTAAAACATAGGGCGTTAATGTATCCCCATGGTGATGAGGATGTATTTTTATAGTATAAAAAAGCTTAAAACAAGCACTTGCATGTTAAATAACGTTAAACATTGAAGTCTGTTAGTTTGCCAATTGGTTGATCTGTCTTTATTTGTTTATTTACTGCAGGCTGAAAAAGCAGAAGGATTTATCAGACTTCCAGACTTCAGTGTGGACAGAGCAACGGAGTGCAAAAAAAAGCAGTAAGTTTACCACTTAGCATTTGTTTTGCATGGTTTTTTACATTGATGCAAAGTACTGTATTTCAGTATTTCGTCCTGACACTGAAACTGTGGGGAGCTCTTCTGTGTTGTATAAATAATGAGATGTTGAATGTGTTTCTGAAAAAAACCCAACACATATACCAAATACATTTTTTAAAATTCTCTGGCAGATGTGCTCTACTAAAACTGCAATTAAAAAGTAAAACAGTATGCCAATGTATTATTACTATTATTATTGTTTTCTTCTTCTTTGTTCACAGCTCATGAATAAATGACAGTCTGTCTTAGATGCCTTCTCTTGAGTGGAGAGTTCAACAGTGATTCAAATAATGATGCTTACATTTCAGTGGAGACTATTTGTGAGGCTGCTGTGGTACAACTTTTGGATGTACTTAAAGTCTCAGTTTGTGCAGAGAACGAAAACTTTGTTTAGCAGTGAACGCAACTAAAAATACTCCCTCCAAACCCCATGTGCAACATTGACTTCCAGCTGTTTATGAGTACACTTCACGAGTTTGGAGGAGTGTTGCTGCTGTCCAAAGCCTTTTTTGTTTTGGTCACATGCTCTGCTGAGCTGTATGCGTTCCTGAGATTAAAGGGTTCAACAATTTTGAATACTAGGAGCTCTATTTTATTTTGTCAGAAGGAAGATGGTTGAATCATGAAACACAGGACCAAAAGAAATTGTTTTCTTTCAGTTCTGTAGCGATGGCTCTCTGTGACTGAGATGAAAATACGTTTGTTGCTTTCTGGGTATGGAGTAAGTTAGGGGAGGACTGTGAGGACTGGGTTGCTTGGTCAGCTGGGGCCCTGCCAAACAGTCTGTACTTCCACAGGAGAGTGTCATGTCACAGGGAACATAAGAAAACTATGCAGTCTCAGAGCCAGACAAAGTTTTACAAGGAAAATTACTCTGGAAGGTCGTACTGATGGATATTCAACTAAAGTATGGTCTGATGCTGAAACAAATGAGTGTTACAAATGGGTACGGCACATGTAATTCGCAAGCAGTGCTGGTTTAAGGGACATTGTATATGGTCAGAACAGATCATGCCCTGCTGGAAATGTGCCAGTGGAAAAAAAAAAAAGTTGAAGACTTTTCTTTCATTTTACACTGCTAAAATGTTTCAGTTGGCTAGCTCCTTTTCCACCATCCTTCATCATTCTCTGTTACATTGTTGATTACTTTTTTTTTTTTTTTTTTTTTTTTTTTAATGTGGATGCAAAAGGGAGTCAGAGATCACTAATTTTGTGCGCTGCAATATATGTCACCCTGGATCCTGTTGTCTTTCACTCAAGAAAGACACTCTTGCACTCCAGGAGCTTGAGTGTTGTGGCAAAAAGATACAGGGACTAAGGGTTGGGTTCCTGGGATTTAGGAATTTTGATTCCTAAAGGAAATCAATCCTGCTTTTTAAAGTTTATTTATTTAATTTATTTCCCCTAACATGTCTATTATGACTGCCAAGTATTCTTCTAAGTATGTTCTGTAGCTGGTGACCTACAGAGCAGTTGATATCAGGAGTAAATTTCCTTTTTCTTTCTCCTTTTCTTGAAGGAGCGTCAAAATACAGTATGTTAGAACAGTATATAAGAGGTGCATGTTGGTCAACATTTGAGGTAAAAATGTTTTTTCTGAATTGGTGCTTTCCTCTCAAGGCAGCTTTAAGAATGAGCACACTGGATCAGACAAAAGCAGTCCAACTTGATATCTTGCCTTCTGAATTGGCCTAAGGCAGGTGCCTAGCAAAGATTAAATGAAAAGAGAAAACTTACAGTGCTATTTACTTAAAATGCTCCTCCATCCTCCAAACAATTTACCAACTGGAATCTTCCTGAGTCAGAAGAGGATTAGTGTATTTATTAACCTTCGGTAATTTCTACCAGGTGGAATTCATTAAGGTTGATGCAACAGCATTCATAGGAGAAAGATCCAAGTCACTACCTCCATTTTAATTTTTTCAAATCTTCCACCCAATTGCCTCTTTGGTGAGTCCTACAACTTATAATGGAAAAAAACAGCAAAGCGTCAGTTCCTGTTTGACTGCGCATGCCATGAGTGACATTACTGTATCATACCTCTCTTCTTTTTACCATTAGTTCTATGTGTTGTGGTTCTTAGCTTGATTAGTCATACACAGAATATATTCTGTATCTTGGGTCATCCTTGGCACTTTTTCTGAACCTTTTTCAAGTTTGTTTTATTTTCGAGTTGGAATACATATATTCAAGATATTGGCACACTATGGAACTATGGGGTGGCATAATGAAAGCCTTTGTTTTATTCCTTATTTCTTCATTTTTTATTTATAGATTTCATACTGAATACTACATGGACTAGGAAATGAGCTAAAAATAATCCTGAATTTTAAGGAAATAACTGTATGGATGGATAAGCTGATCTGGATTAATAAAGTGGAATGAATAAATATTTAAAATATTAAAATCATTCAGCTACTTTTTCTTATGTAAAGAAGTTTTCCTCATCTCTCTTTTATTTTTTTTTTTTTTCCTTCAAGTGCTATTAAGATCAGCCACCCACAGATCAAGACATTTTATTTTGCAGCAGAAAATGTTCTGGAAATGAACACGTGAGTAGAGAGTGACTGGCCCTGTTTCATCCTGTCTTGCATCTGAAAACACTTTGAAAGTTCATTCTCTCACTGTTGAGCAGTTGTTGATGAAGTTCTTCAGGGTATTACTAAGTATATATATTTTTTTTCCACATCACTAAATAGAAGGAATATACTACTAATTTGCTCACTAATAGAGTTGAAATCAGTATCTGGTAGTTGGTATAATTTTGTTACTAGACTGCAAATATTTGAAGGAATTCCTTTCCACTAAAGAGGTGCAAAGATTTCTAGCAAGTTAATCTTCTTGGAAGAAGCAAGGAAAGAGAGGAAAGAGAGGAAAAAATGTACTTAGCTTTGCTCCAGAAATGATCTAGTGCTTGAATGTAATATTGTTTGCTTTCAAAATAGCATGCCAGCTAACAAGGATAGTTAGAAAGATATAAACAACTGTTTTTTATTTTAACTAAACATTTATTTCACTGCCAAACTATGTTGCAGTTAAGCAATCTTTATGCCAGAGTAGACATTTTCTTTCCACAAATGTCTATAGGAACAACAATTCACTCATGCTGTTTTTTTAATGAGAGCAGTAAAAATGGGTACCTAATAGTGCCTTTTTAGGAACTACTGAGTTATTAGAATCAGATATTACTTGCAATTGATCCAAATTGGACTGATTTATATACATTCGTATCTTCTTTGTATTTATTACTTCAGAACATATTCTGTTCACAATGCTTTTTCATTAAATGGCCAAAAAACAGGTCCAAATCAGTTTAGTTGAAATAGGAAGACAGATAGATAGGGCCAAATTTTAATCTTGGCTGTACTGGTGACCTTTGTGAGATTCCTCATAAAGAGTTGACTTTTCATCCTAGAGACCCCATAGCTCTTCAGCACAATGGAAAGGAAAAATGTTGAGAGAATATGTGAGACTTTCTGAAGTAACTTCAGAGACAGAAAAGAACTGTACACATCTATTTATAAATCTGGACTGTATAGATACATGTAAATATAGATGTGAGAACCTGTTACCCTTCGCAACTTGGAGAAGCCTAGAGTTTGCAGTTGGGGAAATGACTGTCTATTTCTGTATGGCTGCATTTCTTACCAGAGTTCCTCAATACAGTCGAAGGGAAGAAGGGCTGAGGAAGACTCAAAATGGCCAGAAATACTTCTGTAAAGAAACTGACTGACTGAGAGAAGGATGGATGTAGGGAGGAAAAAAAAAAGAGAGCTAATGGAGGACATGTGAACATTAACAACTAGTTTGGAGCCCAGCTGGAAATTGTCAGTGTCTTAATGACATTTTGGAAATGTTTAGTCTCATGTAAGTGAGTGATTGAAATCTACACAGGTGTCTCCTCTCTTATGCCCCAGAATGATTTTCTTCAAACTCCACTTCTAGAGTAAATTTCATATTGGCTGAAAGCTAAGTAGCCTAGCACTGGAGCAGCTTGTACTATGCTGTACTACTCCTAATTCCTTACTGTTGTAACTGATGATGTTTTCCTTGGCAAAGTATAGAATACATGGATTTAATACATAAAGTACATGCATGCTCACGCATATGTCAAAACAGACTAAAAGACATCTGTTTGCTTGGCTCCATTCCCACGCATACATATGTATGTGAGTGGTTCCACTGAAGTTGCTGGGGCATTCCTGTATGTTGAGTTACTTGTGTACTTAAATACTTGGTAGGTCACGACCTTTTGCAACTCTCATGCATATATATTGATTAAGACACAGTGAGTTTATTAATTTAGTAGTTTATTTCATTAATTCAGCATTCATTTGTCATAGTAATGCAAATATGAAAAGCAAATTTGTTTTCTTAAATGCACACAATTACTAGTGGTCTGTCTTACCTTGCTCTTATTGAAATCTTGTATTAGCAGCATTTTTGTTTTGTTTAGATTAAAAACAAAAACATTCTGTTAAAATTTTTCTGTTAAAAGAAAGTAATTAATCAATTTTTACAGAGATTGCACTTTTTTTCTGAAATTTTTATGCTGCTCAATTGTATATATGATAGTCTAAAAACCCAGTTACATTACCATTGTTCTAACTAGACAATTTTTCAATATTCAAGTACTTCAGTATAATCAAGATCTAGCACCATATTTTCTCCAAGTTATGAATTTTAATTGCTGCCCTTCTTGCATTCCCTCTTTAGGCCTTGAGTTTAATCTGAAAGACTTGAGGTATTTTAATAATTAGCTTCTTAAAACATGGATAGTTCCAAATGACTTAAAAGCAAACACAGTACACAAAGGGTATTATCAAGGGCAGCTGACATCATCTTCTATGGCTCCTTCGCCTTTTTCATCACCTTGGATGAAAGATAATGTCACTGATACTCTGTTATGACACTAATCATTTTCCTTTAGCTTCCAGAAATGCAGTTCTTTGGTCATCGGTAGTGTTTTTCCTCAACATGAGGAGGAAAAAATGTCCCAAACAACTAGTCCTGCTCATCAGGTCCAGTCTGAGAAGAGCATGAGGGCTGTAAAACAGAACTACACAGCTTGCTATAGTATTTGATTGACAAAAATCCATATATAGAAAAAGAAACCTCTTGGTAGTCTATTACATATTACAAGGTTGGCCTATGAGATGCTCAGTGCACTTCTTCTGTTGGCAATTTAATCCTACACAGTTGTTAAAAGGAATGGGAATGTTAGTAATCAGGTCATAGGTGTTTTCTTAGGAAACACTGAAATACAGAAGGAAACATTCAGACTTTGGGTTAATGAATATACATGTTGAAAGGGGAGAAATAGTCAAAATAGCATGTAAATATCACTAATAATATATCCTCCCTGATTCAAACACAGGTGGCTAAGCAAGCTGGGGATCGCTGTAGATCCTCAGGCACCCAATGGAAAGAGCGAAGAAGGTATGTTTCTAGAACAGTTTTTGTGTCTAAGCAGATGATATCCTTTACAGTTTTTGATGGGCTAAATTTTTGTCAGATCTTTTCTTTAACTGTCACCTTGAGTCTGTCTGGCCACAGAGCCTATTGACACACTGACATGGTGCAGAGGAGCTTTAGAAACACTGGTGAGATAAGGTATCGCTGAAAGGAGGCCACTGATCTTTTGAGCTGTATTGACTGAGTTGAGAGTCATTAAACCTGACTTGAAATAGGAGAGCCAAAAAATATTAACAGAAGCAAAATATGACAGATGTTTTGTCACAGATGCTCCAGGATCTGTCACGAGAGAGTTTCAGAAAAGAAACCCACAGACATATTTGTGTGGATGCACCCTTGCAGAGGTACTGCTGTTACACAAAGCCACTTTTTTGCTCCCAGCAACTTGATTTTCCCCTCTGTGTCACACACTGTAACTCTTTGAGATGCTTTTTAGTGTATCAGAAACAGCTGTTACCAAGGGCTCCTCAAGAACACATCATTCACAGAGCCTTAGAATTTGATATGGGCTGACTGTAGCCATTCTCAGTCCTTGATGCTAAGATGTTCCAGCACGTAGTTTCACTAAACAAAACTACAGCCTTGCTGTTAAAAATCCTATGATTCTCCAAGCAGTACTGAGAGAAAGTTTCATTTTGTTAACATCTTAGAAACTTCTCTCCAGTGTATAAAATCTTTTTCTCTCACAACTTTTTTCCCCTCACATTATGGTTATTATAACCCTGAAATTACATGCATGCCACCAATAATTAAATTAGAAGATACAGTAATTACATCTGATTGGATAATATTATGGGTCTGAATGGCTAGTGTGTGCTGGGAGATTTCACAGAGGGAAGTTATCTTTTTCAGTGGTTGCAGCCAGGCCCTGGGAATAGAATGCCTAACTTGTGACCTCTCCTTCTTGTGTGTGTCTCATTTTATCAAATTAGCACTTCATGTAATCCACTGTTAAAAAGTAGCTGAGAAGTGCTGGAAGACACCTCCCTCTGATACACATGCAATTGAAAACTATGACTGCCCCTTTGCCACCTCTCAAGAGATTTTGGGTCTGTCAGCTTGGTGGTTTTCTTTCTTTCTTTCTTTCTTTTTTTTTTTTTTGTTTTAATGGTATGCATGGTCTGAGAGTACTGTGTCTACTTCTATTGCTAGCTCTGAAACTGTACCACTGTGCCACGTGGTATGTCAAATTACCCTCTGGTGACAAAGGTCTCCTGAAGGTGTCTTATGGTTTCCAAAGCATCATGTGAGCAATCTATTTTTTCCAGAATTGTAGCCAAAACTCCAGTGCTGGTTGCCAGCTCCAGGAGAATTTACTAGTTACAGAGAATAAGAGACAGCATCTGCTACATGCAACAGGTCTCTGCAAGTTCTGTCACAGACTGTGTAGCATTTCATTTAAAGGCTGTGAAGGGACGAAAAAAGAACCACTTCTTAGTGGTAAAGCTATCTGGAGCAGCGACACCTAGTGTTGTCATCTATAGCAAGTTTATTTAAAAAATAATAGAAGAAAATGTTGCTATGAAGCAGCAGAGCATTATCAAGAGTGGGTTAATTTTCAGCATAGGAGGCACTAACATCTTATAGACCACAACATTTTGCTTGGGGAACTTTGATGAGCAACTGTGAGGAATAAATGAGTTTTGGTTTAACACTTTATATTTGCTTATTTTCCATGTCTGCCTCAGAATGCTATAGTGAAAGTGAACATGATGACCCAGAAATAACAGACACACTGCCTCCCTCATATGTGGCCCAGCCACCACCTCCTCAGTTAGTAAGTATTACCATAATTAGGTTTTACTTGCTCAATGGTTGAAACAAATCATTCTCCAGGTGGTGAGCTACCAGTTAGACTGGAGACTTTCTCGCTGTGCGCCTGTGAGATATGGATGCACTGTTTCCTCTCACCTCTGCCCAGTGATTTTTCATGCAAGCACTGTAGCCCATGCTGCTCAGCGCCTCACACTGACAAGAATACCTCCTTCAAGGGAAAGCATATTCACTCTGTTTGAGAATGGAAGGTGTTACTGTGCTTCATAAGTGTGTTGTGTCTTTATGAGGTTTTTAACATGCAACTGTAACCTAGTCTTCACAATATTTATATTTCTTCATTCAATCCGAAATCTTTTGTTTGGTGATGTTGGTAGCATTATACAACAGATTTATGTATTCGACTGAGCTGTTCTTTAGAAGACTGAATTTGAAAATGCTTTTGTGGCAAAGAGGAGAGGTAAAAGGCAAGAGGTGTTTTCTAACAGGGATTATGTCAGTTCTTTCCTTTTATGACTCTGAAAAAGACATTAGAAAAAAGAAAATAATTATACTCCCAAAATCTATGTTGTCCTTCTACCTCATTGTGGAGCATGTCCAGAATATTCACTACCACCTCGCTTTTTTACAGAAATTGGAATAAATAGCATGAACCCTCGTGTGTGTAATCAAGTGCTTCTCCTATTTATAAGCCAGTTCTTGATCTGTTAGTCTAGCCTTACTATTGATGTTCTTCACAGTGATCTCATTTCTTCTCATATGAAGGTACTTGTTCAAGGTACAAGGTTTAACTAATTCTGCATTAGGACATGAGTAATTCAGTTTGGGAGGGTAATACAGCTGAAATGAAGAATCCTGACTTCAAGCCTTTCACTCTCCCAGCTGAAAGTTAAATCTAGGCATGTTCAGTAATATACTTGTTACCAAATAATCTTCTTGATCAGAATCTGTGATTCTGTGATTATTGCATCTCATGGATGAATAAAAAATGTAGTAGCTACCCTGTTGGTGTAGTAGAGGTTCTTGCAATGGTACTTTAAAATGACATCCATTGGTTTGGTGGTCATGTAGGCAGTGAAGAAAGAGAAAATCTGAAAAACATAGATGAGCTGGAGAAGCTTGCATGAACACGGTCAATTTTTAGATAGCTAACATTAAGCTTGGTCTCTGTGTTGTATTGTCATCTATTTGCCCCGTCTGTTTCTGTCAGATAAGTCAGTCTTCACTTCCTCTCCTTAAACAGTTGTGCTTCATGAATCACTGTAAAACAGTTCACCTGGCACTCAGAGGATGCTCTATATAATAGGATTCTTTATTGCCCGTATTAACTGAAAGTTAAATGTGGCCAAGTGGCTATAAATATTGGAGAATACAGGAAACTTGACAATATATCTCCAAGAGTTATTCTGGGCTGAAGGCCGATAATGAAGCATCTTGAAATTTATACCTCAATGGATCGGCTTCAGGAGACAGTAAATGACTTTCCCATCTGCTCACCTCGGAGTGAACACAGGCATCTTTCCAGATGATGAGTTTTAAGCAGGTGCTATTTTTCAGTTTGCTGTTTTTCTGGCTTCCTGCTACTTCTCAGCCTGTAGCTGCAGAGGTGATCTCTGGTTGCCTTCCTTCTGTATGCTTCTCTTAAGAGCTGCCTTCAACGTTTTAGCATGGAACATGTGGGAGGCAGGCAACAGTGCAGGTGCTTGAGGGGTGTTGTTTCCTCCACCCTTCCTCTTGAAGGTCATCTTCTAGTCAAGGTCTAGAAGGTCATAGTACAGTAACTATGTCTAGCTGCTGATTTCCCTTTTCCCCACTCCTGTGGATGAATGTTGGTATCTCCAATCAGTCAAATTTTCACCCCAAGGAATGGAAACTGGAAAGAGCTCCAGCTGCCACTGCTCTGCTCTATGCTCTGGCAGCAATTTGCAACTGGCAAACACATCTATGCTGGAAACTCAGACTGGAAATATCTTTTCTTTTTTTTTTTTTTTTATAAGTTATAATTCTGTCTTCCAAATGCCAAAGGCATTTTGCAAAATAGGAACTAGGAGCTATGGACATTTTGGAAAATTAAATGTATGATGTCTGAAGTAGGAGGGCATCCAAGCTTCTTGAGATCCACTCCGGCTTGGAAACTGTTAGTCTGGAACAGCCATCCAGGTGCAGATTCTGTTACATTACGTTTTAGAGCAGTAAACACTTTGCACTTCCTGAAAAAAACTTCAGCTGCTGTTAGTTCTCTGCGATAAAACAGTTTTGAAACTTTAAAAGCAAAAGTAGTGATTATAAGCTTTCTAGTTTTATGTGTTTTTGCAGGTTTTGTAGGGAAAGAAAAAAGCAAGGGAAGAACAAATACACTTAAACATCTGTAGGACAAGAGCTTAACTGATCATCTGTGTTAATTTCTCTGCATGAGAATGGCTCAAAAATCAGCAGCTCAATTGAGTAAATAGATTGCAGCAACTCCAAAATAGCTGCTGAGGTGTTTCATGGTGATAATTTTTTTCTCTAAATAAATACCTAGAGACACACTGATCTGCAGTGGAATCCTTATGATCTGCCAGCTTAGGCATCTGCTTTTGAAAGTGTCTCCATATATAGTTTTTATTATTACATGTATGATTACAAAACTTCCAAAGGAATGACTCTGTCACTCACGTAAACATTTGTCATGCCAAGAAAAACATGTATACATAATGTGTTGAAAAAGGGAAATATGTTGTGGTAGTCTGTTTTATTCTTTCACAGTTTTTTTTTTATTTAACAAAAAATGAAAATGAAAACAAAAATATGTAATAGAAACAAGAAATTCCATTCATTGAGGCAGTTTTCATTTCAGCATCACTTTCTTTTTCTTCTAATGTAAGAATGCCAGTAAAATTAGAGGTGAGATCTAACATCTTGCTCTTAAGACTTTAAATAAGTGAAATTAGACAGACTATCAACACCGTATGAACAACGGCTTTTAATTTTTGGTCTATTTGACTGTATGAACGCTATGCGGTGCTCAGAGACATGATTAAGCAGTGGGTTGTTAGGGTAGTATGGTTAGGTTGTGGCTGGATTTGATGATCTTTAAGGTCTTTTCCAACTGAACAATTCTATGATTCAACAATTTGTTTTTTCAGTATGAACTCCTGGATAGATGAACAGGTCACTTGTGCTCACATGGGCATCTTGAACTACATCATGCGTAGATCAAAAAGATGCCTTCTTGCCCACTGCTTTAGAGTGAGTATGTGAAGAATTCCTTTTTAAAATCAAACATGCAACTAAAACACAGTGTCACACTTATTGTAATAGGGATATAAATAAGATGTAGTCCTGCAGAGTTTACAACAGTCTGGAAGAATAACTTTGAATATTTAGAGAAATAAAGAATGTGCTACAAACAAATGGTGAGCCACAGTCATCTCATCTTATGAAGTGATTAATAGCTACTTGAGACTACTAGACTAGAAACTCAGGGAAATGCACTCACATTTCTTAATGTAGAAAGGAATTAGTATACCTTACAGCAACAAATGAATTACAGAAGCTTTTATAGCATAATCCAAAAAAAAATCCCTCTTGGTTTATTTTATATGAATACATTTTATTTCTAATTTACCAGTGAATTATTGATAGATATTCCAGCCTTGCTCCTTTATTGTGTTTGCAGCTTGTTTGGGTTTCCCTAGCAACACCATTTTGCTAATTATCAGTACTTCCAGTTTAGTTATCATCTATTTTAATACTTAAGGAGATTTATTCTGCATATGTGTGGCAAACATAAAACTCTCCATCAAGTTTTGTATTCTGATTCTGAGTCTGGCCAGTAGTGGATCATCTGCAGGAAATTTACTTCAGGAAATTTCTGAAGTAGCAGACAAAAAATATTTGGCTTTTGTCTTATACCTCCTCATGGTTTCCACTAAGGGTTGCAATCTGAATCTTTATTTCCTTATGCCTTCAATTATTTTATTTGTTAATAGATCATCTTCTAATTAATTTGTGCGTATATTTATGTGCTTGTCCGTGTGTTACTTATGCAATTGACTATCTTGGCTTATATGCTAGTGGTTTTTTGTAGGTAGAAAACAGAGTAGTGTTAGTTCTTGTTGATTTTCATTAACAGATAATAGTACAAATCAGTCAATGCAAATGCATGCTGTAGAGAGAGTTGTTAGCCTGTGAGCTTTGTGAGCAAAGATATATTTGCTTGTTTGAGAAACTACGTATTTCTCAGAACTTTTTCTTCTCTAACTTTTCCTTATATGGAATCATGCATCTATTATACCCTCTCTCACTTGCTGCTCCCATAGGTTAGCTGTCTCTGTGCCCTCATTATTTGTGAGGCAGAGTGATGAGTACAGTATGAAGAACCCTAAGATGTGCTTAATTCTGATGCATCTCTAATGAAATATGGATCCGTTTTCAGATTCATTTCCTCAAATATAAATCTTGGCAAGTGAATGAGCAGCACAGATCTTGTACCATTCCAATTTCTATGCCATCTGCTCCATGACTGCCTGTTTTTTCTTTCCACCAGTACTTGTTCAGCCTTCTTGGCAAATATTTAGTCCCTAGAATGGATGGGATAAAATGGTTTTGGTTGCTGAGGTCATTTCAATTCTGCTTTAACATTTCTTGTGTTGTCTATATGTGGTTATGGCATTGGTGGATTTATTGAATACTTCAAAGTAGCTTTATGTTCTATGGTTCAATGCCTCATTTGGGGTTCTTTTGATGAGAGAAATAAAGTGAATGGAAAAACAGTGAAAATGACTATGAGACAAAAAGGATGTGTTCAACATGGTATTATTTTCTTGCTTTGTTGTTTCTAGGCCTTCAAAACTTTTTTATTTTTTATTTTATTATTTATTACTTTTTTATTTTTTTATTATTTATTTTATTATTTGTTTGGATGGATAATCAACCATATTATCACACAGATACAAACAAACTTGAAGCAAGGCAACCAACCTCTCACAACTTCAGAACCTAAGTCACAAGGAAACTAGAAATAAAAAATAAAAAAGTTTTGAAGGCCTAGAAACAACAAAGCAAGAAAATAATACCATGTTGAACACATCCTTTTTGTCTCATAGTCATTTTCACTGTTTTTCCATTCACTTTATTTCTCTCATCAAAAGAACCCCAAATGAGGCATTGAACCATAGAACATAAAGCTACTTTGAAGTATTCAATAAATCCACCAATGCCATAACCACATATAGACAACACAAGAAATGTTATAATATTATGTTAGTTTTTGGTTAGTTGTCACTTCAGTTGTATATCTATGAGGTGTAGAACCTGGAAAAAATAATAACTTGGAAAAAAATTTTTTCTTTTTTTTTTTCTTGTTTGTTTTTGGAAAGCAGGATCAACAGAAATCCTCTTTGACATCAACTCTGTCAAGCGAAGCATCTTGTTCTCTTTCCTCTCCTGAAAGCACTTTCAATTCCCAAGAATCATCATCTTCCTTAACGTCCAAAGTGGTTTATTCTGAGAGGCAGTCTCTGCTTGACTTCGTTAACAACTCTGCCATGGAAGAGAGTGATCAGCCTTTAACTTTCTGTGTACAGATTCAATCTGATGAGCAGACAGAAGTAGACTGTGGAGAAAAAGCAGAAAGTCAGATCTGTCCTGGTGGTGGACCTGAAAACACTTTCTTAGGTCTGGATGCACATTGCCTAACTGTGCCAGATGCAGCAGGACAGATAACACTCGCCAAAGGTGAGATAATGAGAGTTTTGTCTGGGATTTTCCCATAACTTCCTTTCCTCTCTCTTTCATCATATTTCTGTTGAAGAGTTTTAAAATGGCATGGTTTTTTTTTTTTTTTTTTTTTTTTTTTTTTACGACAAATATTTGGTTTATTGTGCCTTAAATATACAACTCACTATTGAATTGGTAAGTATATTTAGAATTTTTCTCAAATTTTATATATAGGTTAAGATCATAGCCTCTGTATAAAATCCTAATGTGTTTTTACTAACTTCATCTGTTTCAGGATAGCTGTCGTTTATTAATTAGAGTTGAATCCAAGTGTTAAGAAAGTTTCATGACATAAAGGTGGAATCACAGTATATGCAGTGCCACAAAACTGAACTCTGAGAAAAACACTGTCTGTAAGAAGTGATAAATGAGAAGTTAGATCACCTTACCTATAAAAATGTCAACAGTTGTGTTCACTTCCGCTATGTATGCATTATTCATTTCATTGAACTTCATTGTAAACAAGAGAAAACAAGTGCAGTCCTGAATCAGAAAGTCCTTAAAGGCTGGATTTTGTTTAAGAGTGTGAGTATCTCCATAGGTATCTTCTACTGAAATATACTGTTAAACAAACAAACAAAAAAACGCGGTACAGTAACAAAATTTGCTTGTTGTTAGTATTAACACAGTCATAGCAAGACTGTATATCTTGCCTTTTGAACAAAGCTTCTCTCCATGCTTAAAGAACTGTTGAAGTTTAAAAGGTATTTCTTGCATACATCATACTGAAAATGAGAAGATTCTCAGTCCATTACCTATGTTCACCTATCTTTGTAGGTGAACAGAAAGCAAGGAGCTGAATCACTTAAAGTAGTGTAAGGCACATCAGTTACATTGTCACTTTCAATTGTTTTACAATTATCAACAGTTAGCACACCTTTGTTTTGTTATATGATTTTACGAAATAAAACAAAACAAAGCAAAAAAAAAAAAAAAAAAGAAAATAACCCACCAAGATATTGAAAATTGATCTAAGTAGAAGCTTCAGACAAAGTGAAAATTAATGTCAGAGTATTTTGCACTCAGCTTAATTATGAAGCTGCCCTGCTAGAGTTTTCTGAAGCAATGAAAGTCAGTAAGAATTAAAACTGAGAGTGAGTAAATGTCTTATTTCAATGATGTTGAAGAAAATAAATGTTTTAGAAGAGTTCCTGAGAAATCTGATTACAAATTTTTCTGTCTTGGCATTGAAAGTAGTGAAAAGGCTGTACATTGGACCCTAAAAAGATCTGTGACAAGTATATAGCACATGTTCTGTAATTTGAATATTAGGGTTAAATCTGACCAATTAATCTCTTTGGAAAATATTCTTAGAATGGACCAAGAGACACACTGCTTGTGTGTGTGTCTCAGGTTATATGTGTACACAGGAGTTCATATTTGATTGCATTCAGGTGGACTGTTGGATTGTAAGCCGTAGAGAGTATGGTGGCTTCTCGATCCCACTGAGAAAGATTCAGTGGTTGCTTTTTAGTAGTATAAACTTCAGCCTTTGCTCAGAATATGATACTCTGATATTGTCAATGTTTCTGCAGTAATGCTCAGGCTAAAGCTTTCTATCATAACTGTAAGGGTGACAGGTAGTTTTATGGATGCTGACAGATTTAGTGAGATGCAATCGTAATCATTTAAAGAAGAATTTTATAGGTTTGTATGATGATGTAGTAAATGTAAATCAAGGCATATTTTGGTATGTTTCTGCCATTTGCAAGATAGTTTAATTGTTCCAAAAATATTCTTGGGGAAACAAATTCATTCACTGTTCACTGGTAAGCCAGCCCTGACTGCAGAACACATCAGTTTTAACCATGCTGCTTATCTGTGATAGAATTACAGAAATAGATGATTTTAGTGAGACAGTCACTATAGAAACTGTATAACCTCATAAGTTACTATCTGCATGATAACTGTTGTTGAGCAAGTAAGATGTATACCATACATTTGTTATTCTTTATCACTCTGCATAGTATGAGAAGATGGAGAATGTTGGTAATGTTTTTTTCTTGTAATGGATGCTGAAATACTAAATGAAGTAATTTGTAAGGAGATTACTTAAGCTATTTCAATTTGAGATTGAGGTGAAAAAAGGATTAATTAAAGTAGCAATTCAATTCCAAATGGAAATTATCAAAAAGAACCCATAATTCTCTATCTGTGGCTTATACCTCAAGAATTTCCCTCTGCAGCTAGTTGATAAGGACATGCACAAATACTGTGAGATAATTTCAAGTTGGGGGATATCTATCTGCAAAACCTCATGATTTACAGTAACTACCAAGAACACCACTGTTATCTGATGTGGAACAAGAGGGCATACTTTGGTGATTTGCCAGTGTAGTACATCTTATTTACTTTTCAGTGCTTCTGAACAGTATGTTGTTTGCAGCTCTTCGTGTTTCAGTGTAATGCGATTACACCCAGAAGGAGCAGGGTACACCTTGCACTGGTGCATGTTCTTAAAGTGCATGTCCCCTGGACGTATCAGAACAATCCTACGGTCTCTGAACTCTCTGCCCGCAGAGCTTTTGCATGTATATACACTTTCCTTTTCCTTGTAAAAATAGAAAATCTCCTGTCATGCACTCTGCTTTGCAGCAGCCATGCTCTGCTTAGAAAAATCCCATGAGGAGCTGTTAGCTGTAGCTGTTAGCAGCCAAGACCTAGGGGAGAAGTTTTCCAAGAACCAAAGAGCGTTTTTCCTGGCAAAAGTCAGGCATGGAAGTTGATAGGAGAAAAGTTGTTACCTTGAAAGAAGAAAGAATAGCTGTGCCTCAGTGGGAAGAACTTTTCATGTAAATACAAGTAAAGTAAGGAGGGAGATGACTGTCTCTAACTACTCTGCTCTTGTAAGGCCCCATCTGGAGTACTGTGTCCAGGTCTGGAGCCCCCAGTACAAGAAAGACAGGGAGCTGTTGGAGTGGGTCCAGAGGAGAGCCACAAAGATGATCAGGGGACTGGAGCACCTCCCCTATGAAGACAGGCTGAGGGAGATGGAGTTGTTCAGCCTGGAGAAAAGAAGGCTGCGGGGTGACCTCATTACAGCCTCTCAGTACTTAAAGGGAGCCTACAAACAGGAGGGGAATCAACTCTTTGAAAGGGTTGATAGCTGCAGACAAGGGGAAATGTTTTTAAGTTGAGGGAGGGAAGATTTAGGTTGGATGTCAGGGGGAAATTCTTTACAGAGAGAGTGGTGATGTGCTGGAACAGGCTGCCCAGAGAGGTTGTGGATGCCTCGTCCCTGGAGGTGTTTAAGGCAGATTGGATGGGGCCCTGGGCAGCCTGGGTTAGTATTAAATGGGGAGGTTGGTGGCCCTGCATGTGCTGAGGGGGTTGGAGATTCATGATCCTCGAAGTCCCTTCCAACCCTGGCCATTCTGTGGTTCTGTGAGAAAGGAACCTGTAGTGGTAAAATAGACAGAGATTTCTCAAAGAGGAAAATGGGTGAAACCCTGTAAAGGAAGCAACAGGTTCAGCTAAGTGATTATAGGCTTTTTTTTTCTTTCTCTCAGTGAAAATCATTTAGGGAGATCTGCTGAGCAATTGTACACATCTTGAATGAGGAGATGTACCAAATAATATTTGAAGAAACTTTCCAGCAGCTCTCAGTGTTATGAGCAGTCTCAGACTTATTGCTCAGCTCTGATTACTGGGCAGAGGTTACATACCAGAGAGTGGCACAAAAGTATAGAAAAAAAGGATTGTATTTCCATTTACTTAATGGGAATAATTTAATACTTCAGTGTTACAGCCTTTTACATGAACAGTGATAGAGGATTCAGTGCTGACACAAAGAAGTTGACGGGTAAACAAGAAACAGTAAAGAATACAAACAAATATGTGACTACGTGCTCTGTGTACAGAAGCTGTTCTTGCCCCATCCGGGATGGCTAGACACACTGCAGCCAAACTCCATCTTTTGTGTTTCTTCTGGCAACCATTGGAACAGAAAGTATCAGACCATGACACAGCACCACCACTACCATCAAAAACAATGATAACAAAAGGAAGCTGTAGAAATTGAGAGGTCAACAGGAATGTGTGTTTTTATTTATTTGGGTATCTTCCACTGTAGCAATAACATCCTTCTTCCTTGTGGTTCCTGAGGGTTTTATAATCACCATCACATGATCTTAATGCATCTTGGCAAGAAAATTTTACGGTACCACCTCTGGTTTATTTATTTCACTCTGGCTCATTCATAATAGCTGGCGAAAGAGCTGATGTGCACTGATATTTTGGGAAACCTGGGAAGCTTCTTGAAAACAATTTGAATTTTATGTGGATTGTTTTTGCGAGAAGGAGTTGGTTACATAGAAACTAGATGTGGTCAATTCCTTCTTTTCTCAGAACTTACATCCTTTTCCCCTCTTGAGTCTGCCTGTGCCAGTAATAGCCACAACAGATCTTCTGGTGTACTCTGGCCTCTTTGTTCCTTCTGCATAAGTTATAGTAAATGCTGTATTGTGGCTGAGACTATCCAACAGGCACGCCTATATTGCGCTGCGTGGAAGAACAGCTGTATTTGAATGATCATTTTGCTTCAGATTAAAAACACTTTAGGAATCACAGTGAAAATTATGCTGTTACATTTTCTGACCTTGAAAATAGAGATACTTATTTGTGCTGTTTCCAGTTTAGAAGAGTTTGGAGTCTGTTAAAAATGTCACCCCTCTCTGCTGAACTCGCTGTATTGTTGTAATCAAAAGCTCTCAGTGTTAATGTAATTTTCCCATTACTGCTCCCACTCTCTCATGTCTCTTGGTTTTATAGTTCTGCATTAGCCAATGAGGAGTTGGTCAAAGACAGATCCTTTTAATTTGTGTATTTCCTGGTCTGTAGCTCTTTCAGAAATGTGATTTCCCTAACATGTCATTTCCCTTTGGAAAGACTACTAATATGGAGAATGGATAGGGAGTATACTGGGGATTGGTAAGGGCATAAGTGGGTTGTAATGCTTT